AAATTAGTTCCCATATTGGTTAGGATCTCTTTCTGTATCCCGGTCAGGTCAACAGCTTCATAAGTTGGTCCATGATGCTTGATACATTCATAGAGAGGAGGGGGATGGCTTTGGGCTATTGAGTTGTGTAGTCCAGGACCACCTGGATATGCTGATACCCTGTTATGTTTTTCCTCCAGCAGCCCCACTAGGTCCATCCCTATTCTTTCAAAAGGTACCCTCACTATAGGAAGCAGGTTGAGGGGAGTTTTTGGGGTCCTCTTGGGTCCTGCCAATTGACACTCGGGGTATGACATGCAGTAGTCCTTGACCTTTATGTGCACTCCTGGCCAATAGAACCTATTAATAACCCCAAGTGCCCCCTGCATGGGATTAAGTGGGTGAGCCGTAATACTTCTCTTTGATATCTTCTTGGTACAAGGAACTGTATTTTTGTCTCGTTAGTTCAGTGGTCCCTCTCCAGGCAATATAACTGTTCCCCGCTAAGTTCAAAGTGGGGCAATTGCTTTAGCAGCTGAGGGTCCACTATACCATTGACTACTGCTACTTGATCATAAGCTTGTCTTAGTGTCTGGTCATCTCTCTGTTCCCTTATGAAATCTGCCTCTCTGATTAGGAGCTCTCCATCCAATGGGTGTGGGTTCTCATTAGTCTTTGGGGAATGGGGAGGGCCTCTCACCTGGTGGGAGGTCCCTTTCGTGGGGTCCGCTGTTTCATCCAATCACACCAGTTCCTTTGGTCTCACGAGTTCTTGGGCCTCCAGGAGCAGGGTGGCCCCCCACAAGTAGGTGATTGCTCCACTCTTTTAGAATTTCTGTAAGTATTTCCAGTCCCTGCCCAGGATTACTGGATATCCAAGGGTAGAAACTAGTTTTACAAAGAGGTTTCCTGTATGTTTTCTTACCAAAAATCAGACTTGGTGGAGTTGGGTCATAAATCTCCATGTACACACCAGAGAAAGACAATTTGTCCAGGGGAGCCCTCCTTGCTTACCAGCTGCTCTCTGATCAAAATCTGGCTGAACCCTAAGTCAACTACCCCAGGCTTCCCTACCCCCTTGACCTTCATTGGGGCCATTATTTTAGTTGGGACCCATTTTTAGGCCCTAATGTCAGCTGTCTAGGATTGTCCATAGTCATATTCCATAAAGGAACAGTCGCAGCAGAAATGACCTTGTTGCCCACATGGAAAAATGGCTTTCCCCAGTGGTGGTGATGATTGGTTCATCACCGGGGGGAGTTTGGTCTTCAGGGTTGACCCCTTCTGTGGGTTTAGATATTCTCTAGGTTTCCATTCCTGGTTGAGCCATGGTCCTGTGGCCTTGCTGTACTCTCTGGCCATTGGTAACACTATGTTCAAGCTACAGATCCAGTCAGGCCTGCCTCCTTATCTAGTCCATGCCTTGGGGTGGGCTGGTCCCCTAATCCCAGCATAACTACTCCTCAGTGTCTAAGAAGGGAGTCTGGTTGCAACTATTTAATTGTCTGTTAAATTTACGACTTTGGCCAAAGTCTCAGATCAATGCTTCAACCCTGAGTCATTCCCCCCAGCTGGGAGGATCTGGGTAAACTGTTCTATTGCCATCCACACCTGTATTCCAGCTCATGTCTCAGGTTGGAGTGAGCAGCAGCAGTGTTCCTTGAGTTTCTGGGCTACCACCTGGAGCTGGTCCCCTGGTGAATATTTCTCTCAGTGGGAATGACTACGTGTAATGGGGTTCACTCACCACTGTGGTGCCTCCTGCTGGCTGTCTTGGGAATTAGCTCTGCTTGTTAGTGTGCCCTCTTCAGGTGGTCCCTCACTGCCATCATTCCTTCTCTAGGACCAACATCTCTCCAAGGACTGCAGCGTCCTCTTCAGCAACACAGCCCTCCATCCGTGCCACAAACTGTGCTCCCCACTTCCGGGGGACCTGCAGTCCACTGTTCGGCCACTTCCCTTAGTGGCTACTGCAGCGAGTTTTCTGGCCACTTCCTTGTGGCCCCAGCATCCTCTTTGCCCTTGCCTGAGGTCCTCAGCCTGCAATCCCCAGCAACCAGCCAGGAGCTGTCTCCCGCTCCCCTGGTTCCTGCTAGCAGCACTGCTCTCGCCAAGCTGTTGGCAGTTCTCTCATCCCTCCAGAGACACAGTCCTTCCTCCGTAGGCTCCCAGCAGAGAACTGCCTTCCTCTGTCCTGCAGATCCCTCTTTGTATGGAGCTACTTGGCCCTGAGTGGCTGCTCCCTTCAGCCTTTCTCTTAGTTAGCTGCCTCTGGCGCAGCCTCCCTAGGGCTGCTTTTAGCCCCTTTTCTGCCAGTGAGGGGCAGCGGCTGCATCACACTGTGACACATTTCAGATGCAAAGTCCAGATGAGCGTAGTCTTGCACATCGCCTAGGTCTAGTCCCCTACATGCAGGCTGGGATGTCCCGGTCAAGTATGAGGCCAGCAGAATGGCCCAGTGTTCCGGCGGCCAGTGGGCTGCTCTTGCCACTTGTTCAAACATAACCAAAAATGCCGCAGAATCATCTTCCAGTTCCATCTTTGTAAGCTTTACCAACATCCTAGTAGTTGGGATTGGATTAGGGGCTCCTGCAGGAGGATCTGCCGCTCCCTTTTGGGTCTATGAGCATCAGCACCTGCTGAAGAAGATGCTACTGCTGTGCTTGCTGTGGTGCTACCAGCTCTCGAACGAGCTGCTGCTTTCGCTGTTGCTGTGTTGCTTGTTGCTGCTGCTGGGCGCTCATCTGCAGCAACAGCCGGTGTTGCTGCTGTACCCTGTTGCTGCAGGTTATCAGTTACCCACTTTAACAATGTCTCCATTTCCGTCTTTGTGTTTCCTCTGTCTGACTGATAAGGAAAGCCTTTTTGTTTTGTTTTTTTCTCTCCCTCCCTTTAACAGAGCTGGAACGAGCCTGCCCATGCTCTCCACCAGTCATAAACAGGAACACTCAGCACCAGTGCTGTCTAGTGGTCAGGCAGGGGTGTGTCCCCCTCCCTGATGTCCCCCTTTTCAGTTACAGTTCTGTCTTGTGGGGTCTGTCCCTTCTTTTGTGGCTCAGCCCCACTGGCTGGGTTACATATTCCAGTCCATCCTTGTTTGGGATATCCCAAAAGAAAGTCCTATCACAGAAAATTCTTATAGCACCCACAGGGCTTCAGGGCTTCCACCGGAGTTCAGGAACTTTGGGTCTGGCCCTTGAACAGTCAGGGTCTTCCCTAGCTGGATTCTCCACCCAGGTAAAGGCTCCTATTGTTGTCACGTCTTGTGGAGTTTTTAAGGGAGCCTGAGCCCATTCTTTCCACCAGGCTCTGATCCAGAGCCTAATGGTAGGCAGCTAAGTTCTGTACCTTGGGGTGCTAAGAAGCTGCCTACAAGGATCACTTCCTACCTAAGTCCCCTTTTCCCCCACAGGGTAAATTAAAGAATCACAAATAAACCTTCACAATCAATCACCAGTCTTTCCTTTGCAGGCTTTATCAAGTCTGTGTTGCAGGTTTCAGGCAATGAGAGCTCCTGGGCTGTATTTCCCCAGAGCTCAGAGCAGAGGGTCTGTTCCCTTCCATTGCCTGCCTCCTCTCAGCAGCTCTGCTTCCCGTTTTAATCTCCACCTCCAGCTAGCGCAAGCTTTGAGGTTTGCAGCAGGGCAGGGCAAGATGGGCCCAGAAATGCTCCTTAACCCCTTGTTGTCCAGTGTGGGGTTTGTATCCACATCACAGGCAGATGCTCAACATGGAAAATTTTAACCCAAGTAGTTAAAGTTTTTCAAGGTATAAGTAACTGAAGACAGGATCCTATAATGGAAAGTTTCAGGCACTGTGAATAATAGGCCGTGCTACCTGCACTACCTCTAATTCCCTTTAGGAAAGCACCATCAACATCGAACTAGTTTCTGTAATTTATTTAAATAATCTTTTACCACATTGCTCTGGCTGGCAAGGAGAATGAGGTGAGGAGCATTTTCATGCTGTCAAATGTACAAATATCTGATAAGTTTATCCATAATTCTGGATTTTCTGGGCACTAATTGTGGTTTCTAATAATTACCCAGTGTTCTAGTGAGGCACTTTGTCCTTAAATCACGGATATACGCTCTCATCTTTAACTGCAGCTTAATAACGTTCTTTTTTGGAAATTGTTGTCCCTGAGACACTCAGATCTTTCAGAGCATTAGTCTCCTCTTAATGCACAGGAATTTATATGCTGTTCCATGTTGAAATTCTTATGCGGCTATAGAAAGATTTCTAGTTTGGAATCCGTTAGGGACTGATTCTGTTCCCTTTATTTGCAATCAATATGTCTGACTCCACAAGTAACCCCACTGAAATCTGTGGCACTGCACATGAAATAAGGTACTGCTCACTGTGACACAGGGGTGGCAGAACTGGCCCCTTAATGAGAAGCCTAGCTGCAGTTGCTGACAAGATTTCAAAGGGCTAGATTGTGGCCAGCACCTACACAAAGTGGTGAAGTCAGGAGTAAGAGAACTCTCCTTTGCACAGCCCAGTCACCCACCAAGCAGAAGGGCTGCTCCCCTCTAGGAACTGTTGTTCCAAAAGAGTGTGGGAGAAATGAGGTGGTGATGTCAGAGTCATAGATAGCTCCGCTGGCTGGCTGTGCTGAGGAGAGTGTGCTGCATGCCTCAGAAGGGGAGTCTCAGATTATTTCCCCCATGCAAGAGGAGCACTCAGTGATGCAACCTGCCTCTTTGAGCCATAATGCTCCCTTGTGCTTACCCTGGAGCAGTGCAGCTCTGTACCCCTCTCAATGTAAGGCTGTGGTTGGCTAAAAGCCACAATTTAGCCCAAAAGAATTTACTCCTACCATGGATTAGGCCACGTATATAACAGGCTAATAAAGGATGGATGTGGTTGTTTCTCATACAAAAATCTTGTTTTTCCTTCTCCCTTGTCACTAAGGAATCGCAGCAGAGGCAGCATTGTAGGATTTGGGGTTGTGGTTTTTTTTGTTTTCATGATGTCACTTTGTCTCTCCCCTGCCCCCATTCCCACCCAAACTGTAGAACTCAACCTGGAAGGGAATTATCTGCATCGCCTGCCTGAAGAGATGAGAACCCTGTTACATCTGAAGGTGATCAACCTGTCCAGGAACAAGTTTCGACACTTTCCTGAGCAGTTGACTACCTTGAAGGCTCTTGAAACCATCAACCTTGAAGAGAATGAGATTACAGGTAACCTAACAGGAGAGAGTGTGAAAATCAAGTGCCTTAATGTTTGATAACAATAGCCCAGATGACATCTCAAGGACAGAATTTTGTTTTGTAGTAGTTTTCCTCATGTTTTCTATTAAGGGAGTTTGAATCAGAACAGGATTTTGTTTCTTAAATAATTATCTGCTACCTATTCCAGCAGTTTGTCTGTCATCGAGTCACAGGTCTCATTTTGTTTCATCATAATCATCTCCAAAGCAACCAAATGTCATGCCACATACAGAGGATTATAGGCCAAATACAGACACATAAAAGCACATGCATCTCTTGAAATTAGAAATGGAGAAGCTGTCCCGGCCTATATTATGTTTGAGCTAGTTAAGGTCACTGACTCTATGCATAAGCAACAGAAGCAGATGAACGCTTAACAACAAAGATCTGGTTTACTGGCAGAAGACTTTGTGATAAATGACAAAAGTATCACTGCAACTCACAGCAACTCTTTTTAAAGTTGGACAATTCAACTGACTGGAATGGCATAACTTAGAGTTACCAGTTTAATACTATTCTGTTTCATATTCGTTGTGTGTACCAGCACTTCTCAGTCTAAAGGCTTTCAGCATTAAAGAGTCCGTAGGAGGCCAAAATTTGACCTACCGTTTTTGTGTTCTTTGAAGCAGTGGTTCTCAACATTTTCCCTACTGCATGATCCCATGCTGCAACAGAAAAAACCATTGGGACCCCTTCTCCAGCTACAGGGAAAAGGAGGGTGTAGAAGGCAATGGAAACTACCGACGTTCAAGTTGCTTAAGAAATATCCTGTTTTTTTAAGTGTTAACGTAAGGGTGGTTGAACAAGCTGTTAAATTTATTAAAATAAATCACCTTACAACAGCTTTCACAGTCTGATTTCCAGTGCCATCAAATGGCAAAGTAATTTTTTTCCTCAAACTGGCTATCCTGCTGGGAAATATTATTTCATGGCAGTCCTCACATAACTCTTGTACATACATAATTCAGCCTAGAACATTTCTCTTTTCACTTAACAACCTTTTCTTTTTTTGCCAAATCCTTCTTTGTTTCACCTGCATTTCTCACCTCCTTCCACAAGTGGCTCCACTGAGATATTTAGGTTTAGATTTTCAAAGCCACTTAAGGGACGAGGATAGCCAATTCCTAATTGGTATCCAAATCCCCTAGGCAGCTTTGAAAAACTTTATCTTAATGTCTTTCCTCCCTTTTTGCTTTTGTAACAGTGTTCTGAAGATTTCCCTATTTTCTGTCAGCCCTGGAATGGGGAGATAGGATTTTCTCCCTCACTGCCCCTTTTGACAAGGAGCAACTTTGATGAATTCTGGAGCAAGCCACTGCCAGCCCCGTCTGCTGGAGTGAAAGTTGCTATAACTTGAGGTCTTTAAGGTAGAATAAAATGGGGAACCAATGGCTCTGTGAGCCCTCCAGAGAACGACTGGATTCCCTCTACAAAGTGTCTGGTGATGCTCTGCATTAAAGGACATTATGTAAGAGCAGATTCTGTTATATACAAAAAGAAAAGGAGTACTTGTGGCACCTTAGAGACTAACCAATTTATTTGAGCATGAGCTTTCGTGAGCTACAGCTCACTTCATCAGATGTTTACCGTGGAAACTGTTTCCACGGTAAACATCTGATGAAGTGAGCTGTAGCTCACGAAAGCTCATGCTCAAATAAATTGGTTAGTCTCTAAGGTGCCACAAGTACTCCTTTTCTTTTTTGCGAATACAGACTAACACGGCTGTTCCTCTGAAACCTGTTATATACAGTCTCTCTTACTCATCATGGCACATTAAACTTATATGGTAATAAATACTGAGCCATGATGGAGAAATAAAGAAATTAATTAACCAAGTAGACAAGGTGGGTGAGGTAATATCTTCTATTGGACCAATTTCTGCTGGTGAGAGAGACAAGCTTTCAAGCTTACAGAGAGTTCTTCTTCAGGTCAAATTAACTAGGTGACATTTGTAGCTGATTAAAAACTCTTGTAGCCCTCACAAGTAGTCCTGCACTCCACACTTCACCTATCCGAGAGCTATAACTTCAAGGATCTTCTGCTGAAGTAAATTACCCCAGTCATATGCTGCTAAATTAATCTGTGCCCTTTAAACATGCCAGACTTCATTTTCACATATGCACATTCTCCCAGCTTCAATGCCTTTTTGTGCTCAGTTGTGCTAAATGTTCTCCAATTACAATCTCTGCAGCCAAATAAGGAGAAGCATTAAGAAGCTCCAATTGTCCTATCATCTCTGCTGGAAGAACAGTACTCAGTGGGCTGAAAATCAGGGGTACCCTATGGGTCTAATAAGGATGTTGAGTCTCTGGGAAGAGGAACAGGGAGCAACTCAGTTTACTGACCTCTCAGCAGTGCATCTAATCACATGATGTGCCATTTCTTAAAGCTTTTCTTTCTTTCTGGCAAGCCCTAGCATCCTGTGATAACTCACTATACGAGATGAACATCTGAACCGGCCAGGGAGCCAGTAAGTACAGTTGTTTTCAGGCAATCAGCTTTTTCTGCCTTGAAAACTTCACAAGTAGGCAGCCTAGGGTACCTTACATTAAGTGCAAGGGATGCTAAAAACCTGCCATTTCACTGATCCTGTCTGTAACAGAATTAATCAGTAGGTTTCTGTTAGTACATGTGCTCCATGCAAGGCAACTAAGATGGATAGCGAAAATTACAATTTATGCTTTGTATCCCCCCATGTTTTGCACATGGTTTATTTTCATTGGATTTTAGCTTTGACCCAATAAAATCCTTTTTGGTCTCTCTGGTAAGGTAGCACAGAGCAAGAGAGACTGGGTAACAGATAATACCTTTTTCATTTGATCACAATAGACAAAACCTCTCTGTGAAGGAAGGATCAATTGTAAACTATGAGGCACCTATAATTGGCCCAGTTAGAGTATTTAGGCTGCTGGCCAGATAGTAAGCCAATTAAAAGCTTGCCCTGATACACAAATAAAGAGAAGCATGTTTTGAACGGGAGACAATGTCTGAAATTGCTTATAAGAAAGGAAGGCAAGAGAATAACTTCTTCCTCCTCCTCTTCCTCGTAATTATAGAAAGGAAAAAGATCATTGCAGAGGTTTTTTTCCTTGTTGCTTGTTTGACTCAGATTCAGAGTGTGATAATGGTGCCAAGTTCTGAATCCCTTCAGAGTTATTTTCCACACTTCTCACATCAGAAATTCATTTTTATGTGAGCTTTCTTATATTCTTATATTTCTTATATATATATATATATAATAGCAGAAGTCTATTTTTTTAAAGAAAATGGTATATGGTTTGAGTAATGTTTTTGGCAGTACAAGATTAAAATGCAAAAAAGAGAACCCTGTTGTCTGAAAACACAATTTAAAATAAGATTGGAAACCTCTGATACTTTAACTAATAGGTCTGGTTTTTTTCACTGTGTTTTAAGTTAGCTGGCACACCAGAAAACTAAGGGTTTGCATACAGGGGAAGGTATTTTTTTTAATTATCTGGTGACTGTCTGTGAATTGGATAGTATGCTATGAAAACAGACTAAATCCATTTTGAGCTGAGTTAGTCTAGAGAAAAGCTTTGTGTGGATGTGTTTGTATTTCAGATTAACTTTTTCATTTCTGGCAGTCCTCTGACTGCTATCCCACACCCCGTTGTCTCGCAGCTGGATTGACCTGTCTGTTTACCTTTATGCCTTCTGTTGCTCTGGGGCCCTATTGACTGGATATTATCTCCCTATTTAAATGCTGGGCATGTAGCTAGGTATCCCGCATTTGTGAGTACACACTCCTGGAGTTAGATATCCTTCTCTGCATTATAACAACCAAGTCTCAGGTTTCTGCATGGAGCCATGCAGAGATCACGAATCCCCTTGAGATCTGGGAAGAGGAGACAGTCCAAACCTGCCTTAAAAACACCCACTAGTATGCCAAGATATAACAGGGTATATCAAAGCTGCTGACAGAGAGGAGTCATTCCTGGGACAAGTTGCAGTGGTGCAGCAAAGGAAAGGAGCTCTAGCAGAAGTATTAAAAAAACCAGGACAGCAACAAGACCATTGGCAACACCACGAGTTCCTGCCCCTACTATCGTGAGCTGGACTGGATTATGGCCAAGGAGGCTGATACCAAACCCAAATATTTCCTAGAGAACACCAATGGCACCCAAGAGGCCATGGCCCCTGAGCACCATCAGGATTCCAGGATGGAGGAGATTACCGAGAGAGTCAGGATGTCTTCCCTATGCAAGAGCCTGAGGAGGAGAGAATGTTGGGGGTGGCTCCCAGAACCCAGGCAAACACCCAGCATGAGAATGCTGGGGAGAAGACCTCTTCTGCCAGTATGACATGCTGTGCTGCAGTACAACTGCATAGGGGAATAGAAACAACTTTTGTTCTGGGGACCCCAAGGTCACTGTCGACTTGGACAGATGTGAGCTGGGAGCCTTTCTGAGCTTGCTTGGCTTTTATTTCTCCATGCCCACCCTGCCACATGCTCAAAATGGTTCCCATTGCAGAGAATTTAATCTCCACAGATGTTATTTCTCTGAAATATCAAATACCATAGGCATCAGCCAAACTGTCACCCCCCAAACCCCACTTCCTGTGCTGCTTAGCATTCTTTCTCTCTCTGTCTCCCCCCTGGACGACCAACACTTTCTCTGCCTTTTAGCAACATGCCTCAGGGGTAATCTCCTCCAAAGTACAGATGGTCTTCAGAGATGCATGTGCAATTATGAACCTGACCCCTGCCTCCCCTGCTGACCTTATCCACCCACTCTCCCCAGGGCCCCAGCCCACCACTGGCTTGCACAGGTGCACATGCCATTACTAACCAACCCCCTGCTTCTCTCACCCCCCATAACCTTCCTAGTCCACAACAAACCCTGGATTGGTACAAGGGTTCTATACAAAGTGGAAGTAAGGTGAAAAACATCTTATCTCCAAGCTTGGAGACCTCATGTCTGCAGCCCAGAAGAGGCATAAGAAGACCG